GGGGGGGGGGGCGGGGGGTCCCCTGCCCAGGCCTGATGCCTGGGCCAGAGGCATCAGGCCTGGGTCGGGGGCGGAGCCGGGGATTGGGGGGATATGAGGGTCCCCTTGCCCAGGCCTGAAGCCGGGGTCAGAGGCGTCAGGCTTGGGCGGGGAGTGGAGCAAACGATCAGAGGGAGATGGGGGTCTCCTGCCCAGGCATGATTCCTGGGCCAGAGGCCTCAGGCCTGGGCGGGGACCAGAGCCAGTGATTGGGGGGAGATGGGGGTCCCCTGTCAAAGCCTGACACCTCTGGCGGAGGCGTCAGGCCTGGGCAAGGGGCCGATCCTGCGATTGGAGGGTGATGGGGGTCAACGCCTGAGGGCTCCCCGTATGTGAGAGGGGGCAGGCTGGGCTGAGGGACACTCCCCCCCACACACACACACACCCAGTGCACAAGTTTCATGCACCGGGCCCTAGTTTAAAAAATAATAATAATGTGCCATGGTCAACTCCCAGACGTTGTGTAAACTGTTTGCTCAAGTCACTCTGTTGAGGTTACAACCGTGTCGCACACATAAGCTGTCGGTATTCCCATTGTCCAGCCGTCTCGCATGGTTTGGGAACAGGAGGCCCACTCACGCTTCTCTGGGCTCCTGTCCGGATTGGCCGTGCGGGTCCACAGGGAGCCCCGAATCTGGTGATTGAGGACTGTCAGGTGTCATCGACGGAGGACCTGGGAGGGTTAAACTCCCAGGGGGAGGGCTGGCTCCCAACCACCTCGGGGCCCACACGCGTGTTCCCTCACCCCCCTCACCTGCTGCACACCAGGCCCTCTCCCGGGTCCATGTTCAGTGCGTCTCATGGACCTTCCAGGTGAGCCCTTCTCTTCTGTTTCCTCCGAGTGCAGGGCTGTCTGTCCACGGAGACGCTCGGGGCCTTGCTTCCCAGGCCCCTGTGACAGGCCTCCCGCCCAAGGGAGTTGTCAGGAGGGAAAATGGGGCAAAGGGAGCTGGGCCTCACCCAGTGGGCAGAGCGGACTTCCGTGGAGGAGCCCTGGCCTTTGGCCCAGGTCCCCAGCATCAGTCTCCTCCTCCTCCTCCCTCTGTGGAGGGGGGTCCTTCTCTGTGACACAGCGGCTGAGGGGCGACTGGCAGAGCCATGGGCTCACCCCCAGACGACCTTGGATTCGTGACCGATGCACGTGACCCTTCTGCTCCCTTCTCCACAGCAACGGCCCTCACACCTCACACCCGTGTCACCACTGAGCCGGAAACACGCCTTTCCGGCGGGCGGGCGCCTTCCCAGGTGGAAGCGAGCCCAGCGAGTCCCAGGGTTAATAGTGTCTCTGGAACTTGAACCCAGAGCTGTGGTTCCGGGCGAGGCCCGTCGGGTGCAGAACGTTCCCAAGGGAGTCCCTCCGAAGTGACGACGCCAAATTACAACGTCCGGCTTCTAGGACGGTGACCACCTCGCCTCCCTGCTCACAAGAACACGGGTGGTAGTTGGTTTTATAAAATATGTTTATTGGTTTCAGAGAGGAAGGCAGAGGGAGAGAGAGAGAGGAACATCGATGATGAGAGAGAATCATGGGTCAGCTGCCTCCTGCACGCCCCGCACTGGGGATCGAGCCCGCAACCCAGGCCTGTGCCCTTGACCTCCTGGCTCATAGGTCGATGCTCAACCCCTGAGCCCCGCTGGCCAGGCAACAACAGTTTCAAGGTCACAGGGCTGCTTCTCTATGTATTTTTAAAACCAGGAAAGACAGACAACACCCAGACCCTTTACTAAGCACCTGGTTGTGGGTCTGACACGGAAACAGGCTGGCATGTTGGGCGGGAGTGAGCCCAGTGTGGCCACCGTGAGTCTGACTGACTAATACCTCACATGGGAGCATCTCGGGGGCAGGGGGGGGGGCGAGGGAGGGCTGGCTGTGGGGAGGGATTAAGGGATTAGATGAGTCACAGGAGCCCCGGAAGGGAGCGGCCCGGCGAAGAGAAGGAAATGAGCCGGTTCCCATTGCAGAGGGTCGGAGGGTGAGGGAGGGACCAGAGGGAGAGCTGGGAGTGGATCCAGGTCGCCCTGAATGAGGCCGGCATTTGTCTCTGAAACTCTGCCCTTTGCTCACATTTACAAAACACCACGTTCATGCACAGAAACGACCTAAGCCTCAGGGCGGGGATTTCAGAGGAGCTGTCTCCCTATCACCGTGCCGTGCGTGCCACACCCACGGCATGTATTCCCCGGGACTGACTCGGGTCTGGACCAAACTCCACGCAAAGAATAAAGACTTCACCTTCGACGGCTGAAAGGCAGGAGGGAAGGAACGTCCACGTCTCAGAAGACGCTCCCCACACAACTCTGGGCGAAGATGAAAATCTATTCATTGATCAACGTTCAACCCACAGGAAATGAACTATTTAAATATCCTCCGGCAGGCGGTGGCACAAAATCTATACTAATAAAAGGATAATATGCTAATTAGACCAGACGTCTTCCAGACATCCTTCCGGACAAAGCCACAGTGGCAGAGGCCAAGGCAGAGGCTGTTAGGGGCGATCAGGCCAGCAGGGGAGAGCAGTTACAGGCGATCAGCCAGGCAGGCAGGTGAGCGGTTAGGGGCCAGTGGTCCAGGACTGTGAGAGGGATGTCCGACATCCCCTGAGGGGTCCCGGATTGGAGAGCGTGCAGGCCAGGCTGAGGGAGCGCCCGCCCCCCGTGTATGAATTTTGTGCACCGGGCCTCTAGCAGATAATGAACAAAACTCTCTCGAAAGGGTCTGAGTCGCTGCCAGTCTGCGGACCAGGCCAGGAAGACCTGTGGGTGTGGGCAGACTTGGATCCTGCTCTTTGCAGATGGTAAATAATGCTGTTTAAATGCAGACACACTGGCTACGGTGGGAACGCGGAGAAACGCCCATGAGAACACTCACTCGGCATGAGGAACCGGAACAGCCGTGCGAAGGGAGCAGAGACCTTGAAGGCAAAGTAACACCTGGAATGGAGCCAGTTCGTCAACATAAAACGCTCCGTCCATCCGTCCGTCCATCACGAAGGCGGAGCCACGCGTGCGGCCCCCCTAGCAGAGCCGCAAACCACAGGCAGGAAACCCACCCGGAATGAGCCAGAAGGAAGCGTGGAGGCGAGACCTTGGCTCTCCTCTCAGCGCCTGCACCGTGTGCTGTGCCATGGCCGGAGCTGGAGGCCTGGGGGTAGCACCAGCCAACCTTGTCCTGGTTGGGTATCTCCATGTCATTCGCAGAGCAACGAGCCCAACACACACAGGGCACGGTCCTCGCCAGGGCACGCAGCAGCGACTGCCCCCAGATGGTCATGGCGGGTCGTGACGCTGTGAGAGGAGGTGCCCCCAGCCGCCCTCCGTGGGCAGCACAGTCATCGTCACCGCCACCGCCCGGGTCTACGTGTGAAAGCGCAAGAGGGACAGGCATGCAGGCCTCACCCCCGGCTGTGGCTTCCGCCCCCTCCATGCTCGCTCTTCTCCTTTCTCCCTGATTTTTAAAAAACATCTTTATTGATTTCAGAGAAAAGGGGAGCAGGAGGGGAGAGAGACACATCCATGATGAGAGAGAATCATCCATCGGCTGCCTCCTGCACGCCCCCACTGGGATGGAGCCTGCAACTGGGCATGAGCCCTGACCGGGAATCAAACCGTGACCTCCTGGTTCCTAGGTCGACACTCAGCCCCTGAGCCACGCCAGCCGGGCGGCAGCTTGTTTGTTAATAACAAGGGAGCTCACCCCTTCCTGGTCCTGCAGGCAGAGGCCCTGCTGGTCGCCTCGTGTCGGTGGCTTCCCCTCGTTGTGTATTCCCTCCCCTGAGTGACGTCCTGTTCCCCCAGTTTCTCCGAGGACATGGTGTGGCCCGCGAAGAGTAAAGCGTCACTCAGACGTTCACTGACTCACTGAGAAGGGGATTTCCTTGGACCAGCTCTCCATCCCGTCCACGGAGCAGCCGCTGGGGGGGATGTTCAGGGCCAGCACTGGCCGGGCTTTGCAGCCCCTGAGCTGCAGAGTGAGGCAGCCCTCACCCGCCTGCAGGGGGAGTGGAGGTCTCCATGCCCCTCAGGCTGCTGGCATCCTCATGCTTCTTGCACTCCCACCTCCTCGTTGCGCGCCCCGGTCAACTGTCTGCCCCCTGGTGGTCAGTGCACATCATTGCAAGTGGTTGAGCGGCCTTAGCATATATTATGCTTTGATTGGTTGAATAGATGACCGGATGACCAGACACTTAGCATATTAGGCTTTCATTATACAGGATAGGCAAATTTTAAAAAGATCTTGGGGAAATACTGAGCTATTTTTAAAAATATGTTTTATTGATTTTAGAGAGAAATCAAGGGAGTGGGGGGAGAGAGGGAGAGAGAGACATCAATGTGAGAGAGAATCACTGATGGGCTGCCTCCTGCATGCCCCCTACTGGGTACCAGCCCACAGTCCGGGCCTGTGCTCTGACCTGGAATCTAACCGGTGACCCTTTGGGGCCTAGGACGATGCTCAACCAACTAAGCCACACCAGCCAGGGCTATTGAGCTGTTTTAAAAGAAAAGAATTTAGAGGAAGACAGAAAAGTACAGACACAACCTATTTTCTACATATTTTTTACCGCACGGACACTTTAGTGAGACAGGCTCGTGATTAAGACATTAATTATGTAATTGTGTTCTCGTTTTTCTTGGCCATCCAATGAGGAGCGTTAGTATTGGGTGGGAACTGACTCACGCTGTGTAATAGATAAGCACTCGGCTATCAAAACGGGGATATTGATGTTCACGGGAAGGATTCTAACACCCATAACTCCTCCCCGACAGCTCGTCCTCTCATAGCTCTCACTCCGTCTCCGTTGTCCTTCTCCCGGTCGCCCCTGGGATGCTGCCTCCACTCGAACTGTTTTCGTTCCACATCTTGTACCACAAACTATTTTCTTTTAAATTCTCACCTGAGGAGTGAGGATATTTTTTCCATTGATTTTGAAAGAAACATCAACATGAGAGAAAGAGAGACATTGATTGGTGGCCTCCCAACCCGACCGGGGTCAGGGGTCGAACCTGCATCTAAGTTCCATGCCCTTGACCGGGAGTCAAACCTGTAACCCTTCAGTCCATGGGCTGATGCTCTAACCACTGAGAAAACTGGCCAGGGCTGTGCCACAAACTTTTTCATAACAACAATGTGATATATTCAATTCACTCCTCTTCCTCTATCGAACCAGATCTTCATTTTCTTTATGTTTTTTACTTTTGTGAATTATTTCTTCCCACATTCTAACTCCTCCCTGACTTTATTGCTTTATCTCCTTGATTTAGCAATCCTTTCAACAATGATTTTACTAAGGACTTAAAATTCCTTGTCTATAACCTTTTGCAATATCTTATCAGTATATGCACAATCTCAGATACATTCTTTCTCTACATACCTCAGCAACTAAACATTGCTCTGAGTTTAAAAAGTAAATAAGTAAGCCATCAATAAGCAACTAACAACATCAATTACTATAATTTAAAAAGATACGGCAGAATTTTCTATTCCTCTCAGCAATCCTATTTCATCTGTGTGGCAATTAGCAGGTCATCCTGTATAATAAAGAGGTAATATGCAAATTGACCCGCACTCCATCACGCCATCACAAGATGGCTGCACCCACAGTGGAGGCGGGGATCCCGTAACAAGTTGTAACTAACTATCAACAGGGACCTGAGGCTGTGTGGTGCTGCACCGGGGTGGGGGACCTCAGGCCGCCCTCCCAGCCGGGTGGGGCTTGACCGGGGTCCTCAGGCCATGCCTCCTGCCCTGGCGCCAGGCTGGCAGGGCTTGACAGGGGTGCGGCTGGCTGGGTCTGGATCTTGCCCAGTGCGGGAGGAGCTGGCTGGGTCTGGGTCTCGTGCGATTTCAAGGCTCACGCGGGTGGGTGGGGACTTGACTCTGGGTCCTGCAGCCCGCCCCAGACTCTGACAGGAGGGAGATTTTCAGATACATTTTACTAATTTTCTTTCATCTCTGACACTTCTGTTATAGAGAAAGGGCAAATAGCAATATTAAAATATTTCCTCTAATGAATTCCCTTTTAATGTGCACGAATTTTATGCACCGGGCCACTAGTTATTTTATAAAGACAGACAGGCTTTGTTTTGCTTCAGAAACAAGTAAATTTTAAACCCTTATTGGCTTAAAGTAGCAAATACTCTGTTAGTTCCTGTGGGAGGAGGGACTTGGCTGACCCGACGAAGTCCCTGCCCCTGGGGCCTCCATCCTGGACCTGGACCTGTCCCGGGGGAGTGAGGGACACGGGAGGGACACGGACTCAAACTCGCTCGCTCTTCCTCACTCGGCCGACGATGCTCCCACTTTGTTGGACGAAGAGGTGCTGAGCCGCACCTGCCGCCCCGTCCATCCCCGAGCATCCGACACCCCTTCTTCTCTCCAATCGCCTCGAGTTGAGAGCAGGGCCCCCCGGGTGGTTGGTGCCGGGAACAGAGGGGCCGTGGGCAGCAGGACTAACCCACGCGTCTGAGGGAAGGAGCGGCCGGTACGTTAGGTCACTGATACCTGGTGGTGGGAGGTGAGAGCTGACGTCAAGGAGGGTTCATGCGGGACGGGCATCTCATTACTCGGAGGCCAGCACGCGGGAGGCGGGGCCACAGTGCTCCCTTCCCGCATCAGCAGGCACCCCCACCAGGAAGTCTGAACGCAGCCGGACCCACAGTTGAGATGCTCCCAGAGTTATCCGTCTAATTCCCATCACATTTAGGCTGTAAACAAAGACAAGCGTACGCGGCTGCTCCAGCAGCTCACTGAGCCTCGGTCCTGCGAGGACAGCCTCCGTCCACACAGAAGCAGCCATCGTGCTGCCTTGTTAGCAACTGGCACTAAGATGCCAGGAGTGCATGAGCGTTGAGACGTGAGCCCCTCATTTTGGGAGAACGTAGGGGACGAGGAGAGTGTGTGTGTGTGTCTTATGACACCACTTGGGGAGGGGCGGACCCCTCACCTGTGCTCCTCAGTGGTTGACCCAGCGAAGACATCTGCCAACATCACGCCCAGAAAGGTGTCCTGAAGTGGAAGCCACAACTCTGAGGTGGGAGTCTGTCCCTCCAGGGGCAGGAAATAGGGGGGTTCTGAGGTTGCTCTAGGTCAGCTGAGCAGGCAGGGGCAGGGTCAGCTCAGGGGCAGGGTCAGCTCAGGGGCAGGGTCGGTGCATGCAAACAGCGAAGGGACAGGGTGTCCAGCAGCGTCCTGCACACAGAGCGAGTATGGGGGAGGCAGGGGCCACGGCGAAGGCTCCTAAGGTCCTCCGACCGGGTTTGTGGGAGGAAAAGAGAAGCTGTTATCACTCCAGGAAAACGGGGTTAAACGCGGTGACACCGTCAGCGTCTCAGGGGCTGAAGGAACCGTGACGCGGAGGAAGGTGGAGGAAAGCTGGTGAAGTCGGAAACTCGGGAAAACCCAGTACTGTTTCTGTCTGAGTTTAAGGGCAACGGGGCATGAAAGTGAGTGGCTTTCTGGGCGGAGAGCCGGGGGCTACAGAGCCGGGACTGGCTGCTGGGAGGCGGCCACGGCGAACAGGTGTCGCATCTGCAGGGAGCTTCCGAGGTTCGACCTGCTGTGACTGGTGGAGGGCGATGGAGGCCTGGCTGGCATCCAGCCTCTCGTTGCTTCTGATTTTAAGGTTCAGAGTCCCAGATGGTCCTTGGAGGACAGAAATTCATTCTCAAAGGGGAACCCCCCACTCCCCACCGTTCAATCAACACGATTGAAACAGATAACTGCCGTGTTTTATTATAATCAGATGGACACGCCGTGAATACATTCAGTCTGGTCATTGCAATGAGGTGCGGTAAAGGGAACACATTTTTCTACAAAATAAACACACTGTCCGAAGGGTCAGAATGGGAGAGAGAAACGCTGATGGGTTCACACACGGGGGAGCTATTCCGAAGGGACCCACGAACCCCTCCACCCACGTCCGCCGCACCCGACATGCACGTCTCACCCCGACACGGGCTCATGCGCACGGAGGCGGAGAACAGAGCACAGTGTGTGTAAATCACGCAGAACCAGTGCCTCGCCAGGCTGCGTGCCTGCTGGAGCTGAGAGGGAGGGTGTGCGTGACCAGCCGGCCTGAGTCATCACCCCAAATCTTAGTTTCACCCCATGGGGCGGCCTGTTCGGTGACTAAAGGACCAAACGAGGAACTGGACCTTCCCTCTAGGCCCCAAGGCCCTGCTCGGGGCGCGTCCCCCGTGAGGAGAACGGTGTTCGCTGCGTCCACGGACCAGCCTCATCCAGACAACAGGCCTGGCCCGGCCGGCGGGCTCAGTGGATGGAGCATCGGCCTGCGGACTGCAGGGTCCCGGGTTCGATTCCCGGTCAGGGCACATGCCCGGGTTGAGGGCTCGATCCCCAGTGGGGGGCGTGCAGGAGGCAGCGGATCAGTGATCTTCTCTCATCACTGATGTTTCTATCCCTCTGAAATCAATAAAAATATATTAAATACAAGACAGGTAGGTCTACTTGCAGGTGAAAATCATAGGTTATGGAAGCATATTATTTCTTAATTACACATGGGTTTTTTGATTCTATAATTCTGAGCGAGTCTAACTGGATACATTAACTGCCCCAGAATCATCTTACGTATCCGAGGGTGAGTCACAGCCCCTTTTCCCCGATCGTGCCCGGCTGCTGCGCCTGGAGTCCCCAGGAATGAACACAGTCTTCCCCGGGCCGGGCGTGGCCACAGCTTGAAAAACTCAATCAGACCCCAAATGCCTGTCTGTTCCTCTCCCGGCTGATGGTCCTGACGCGAGGTCATCGCTGTGGGTGGAGGGAGTCGGTGGGAGACACGTGGAGGGGACACGGCGTGTTTCAGGCGCCTTGTTGCTCGGCTCCAGGCATGCGATGTCAGTTCGCCTTCTTAGTGATAATAACTGATTGTCCAGTCCGGGGCGTCCACTCCTTCCTGCGGTCGGGGCCCTGCCTGTGTGTAGACGACACA